CACACACACACACACACACAACCTACCTGATGTCTTAGGAAACATTTTTACTTTATTCCACTGCAAACTATGAAAAGAAGTGAAACTAGTTTCAAGCAGTGCTCTATCATATTCTCCAGCCCCCTCTCATTTCTTCTTTATTATTGTTCTGGCTTTCATAAAAGCAAAGGGCATACAGGAAAGGTCTTAGATGATCTTCATATTCAAGCTCTCCTTTTAAGCTTGAAGTATACAGGACAGTACCTCCCTTCCCACTGGGAGGATTTTAAGCTCACTGAAAGCTTTATGCAAAATGCATGTACTTATAGGACCCTTTCTTATCTCTAATTCACTTACATTTTTAATCCATCTTAGCTTGCAAGGTTGAAGAAATATAATATTAATTATATGGTATTTTCTTTAAGTGCTTCATTTTGAATCTTAAAACTCACGCTAGTGTATTTTATTTTGTGTCTACTAAATCTTTATGTCTCTGTGGAAACTTCTCATTTAATATCTTGACCCATGATGTTATCTCTTCTTGATCAATATAGAACTTTGTGTATCTTCATAATTCTAAGACTTTGGTAAAGCCACCCCTCTCTGGGAATTCTTTCATGTCTGCTTCTACCATGCTGTGTTACTCATTCCTTCTTGGGCTTAACATAGTGCTCCATATAAAGGATTACTGTCCCTACCACCATGAATTGTTCTTGACATAGACAACCACAAATCACATCTTCTTTCACTAACTGTAATTTGGAGATGTTTTGCAACTCTTTGAGCCCAATAATTTTCCCAAGCTGACTCTTAGAGTTGTTCTCAGAATGAAATTAGCTCTTAGAGCAGTAACTGAGGTGGCCGTGTCACTTCAGTTACGTGCATGTGTTTGGAAGAAAGGAAGTGTGAACTGCATTTCTGAAGGACAAGAAAGCAGTGTGTTTTTGTCTATGTAAAATATAACTTCATGTTACCTTTGAAAGTTCTTGTATTACTGTATGTCTTGGTCCCTTGGTGAAAGAGGAGCTATATGTTAATAAAAATGGAAAAATTTGTAGAAATGAAAGTATGAAAGACATATTTTATAACAAATTTAAAATTTGAAGAACTATCCCTGATATCTTCAATCTAAAGATATTACCTAAATTATACCACACTGATACATGCATACTTTTACTTATAATAGCAAAATTTCTAATGGCTAAATCTTATAACTAGTTCATATAGCCATCAGTGGATGAGTGGATAAAGAAAGTGGAATAAATACAACAGAGTAAAACCCTGCTACAAAGAAGGGTGAATTTGAGATATTTTTAGGTAAATTAATATACCTCATGACCATAATCTTAACTAAAATAAATCTAACATACTAGTTTAAATATTATATCATTTCTTTTGTGTGAGAAATTCAAAGGGTAAATAAAAATCATATTGGATAATAGCTATTGGGAAGAAGAAAGAGGATGTCCAAAAGAGAGAGGAACAAGGAAGGAAGGAAAAAGAGAGAGGAAAGAAAAGGAAAAAAGATTTTAAAAAGAGAATGGAAGAAAAAATTGAAACAAAGCTTTTGTAAATGATAGTGTAGGAAGGGTTAGAGGGAGGGGAGAGGAATTAAAAAAGGAAAATTAAAGTGTATTACATACAGCTACGAATTCACAATAACAAATGTGATCATATGCATGGAAAACATGTACCAATAAAAATGATAATAGCCAAAATATTTTCCAACATCAATATTGAATAAAAGATCAAATAAAGTCATATAAAACATTTAATATTTCATTATCTTCCCTAACAAGGGCAGATATGTCAGCAATGATTTTCAAAAGAAAGCAATGGAAGGAAGACAAATAAGCAATATTTTAAACAATTTATATTTATGTTATTGAGGAAATAAGATCATATAGATGTTACAGAGAGAAAAAATATCAGCTGGAAGAATATGTTTTCCTATTCAAGAATTTTCTGAAGGCCCCTTTCATGTCTTTATTTCTCAGGCTATAAATGAAGGGATTCAACATGGGTGTGACCACAGTGTACATCACTGAAGCAATTATCTCATTGTCATTGCTGTTGATGGAGGGAGGAAGAAAATAGAGACCAATAATTGCTCCATAATAGAGAATAACTACTGATAGGTGGGATCCACACGTGGACAAGGCTTTGCAAATGCCCTTGGTAGAGGGAACCTGGAGGACTGTGACCCCAATACGACCATAAGAGGCCAGGATACACAGGAATGGAAGCATAATGGCTGCCAAACCTGCAGTAAAGATTACCAGTTGGTTAAGGGAGGTATCTGAGCATGACAACCTGAGCAGGGCACCAAGGTCACAGAAGAAGTGAGGGACAATATTTTTAACACAGAAGGAAAGCTGGGCCAAGAGGAGGGTATGCAAAAGAGCACATGCACAAGCAATGACCCAGGACATGGCCACCAGCATGACACAAAGGCTCTGACTCATAATGGTAGTATAGTGTAGAGGGTGACAGATGGCTACATACCTGTCATAGGCCATTGAAGTGATAAGAAAGCTGTCCAGGTCAGCAAAAAATATGAAAAAATATGTTTGTGAAACACAACCCTCATAGGTGATAGATCGGTGCTGGGTCCTCATGTTGGTCAGCATCTTTGGGACAGTGACAGATGAAAAGGAGATGTCGGTGAGAGCCAAGTGGCTGAGGAAGAAGTACATGGGTGTGTGGAGGTGGGAGTCCAGCCGGATAAGCAGGATGATGAGTAGGTTCCCCAGCACTGTGGTCAGGTACATGACCAGGAACAGGACAAAAAACACAGCCTGCTGCTCTGGCTGGATGGGAAGCCCCAGGAGGAGGAACTCAGAAACGTTGCTCTGGTTCTCAGGCCTCATACTTGTATATCAGCTGCAGATAGAGGAAAACTGGGATATCTTAGAATAAGAAATGATATTTGTGGCAGAGGATGATGGCAGTATTCTCTTGACTTATTGTCTGTAAGTGATAACATTAAGAGTTAATGTTCACTAAATGCTCTCCCTTTATAGTATTTTTACAGCATATGGGTAGTAACTAATTTAATAGACTATTGACTCTAGAGTTTGTTTTCTGAAAGCAATTATTTGTCATCAGAAACATTAATTCCCCTCATAACTTTGTGTGTAATGATCTGTTTAATTCTGCATCCCCTACTTGTCTGCACAGTCCTTTTTCATTTCTAATACGTTTATTGGTTGTAAATTTAGAGTGTGTCACAGATAAATGCACAAATAATATAAATTTGTTGGTAAAATACAAGATGCCACATCTGATCAAAATCATTGTTACAGTTTCAGCCAAAAACTTACATCAGACCTATTTCAGGAACTTCACCAAGGTCCTTATTTAAAATCCTCTTAAGACCACTATTTTATTTAATTACCACAAGTATCAAATTTCAAAAAAGTATAATCTAAAAGCCAAAATTAATTTTTAAGAGGAATTCTAGTCATTTCATGGGTCTAAACTAAGGGATTGAAACACATATATAACCCAAGTCAATATAAAAATATTGTCATATTTTTAAAATAAGGGATTCATTACCATACAATTTTTATTATAAAGCAACAATGATTATATAAATATTTTATTTTTACAAAAAAATCAATAAAGGAAACTGTCCTTCCGATATGATTTGAAACTGTCTCATTGCTATCTGTTTGTCAATAAAACTTTGAGAAAAAAAAAAATCAATAAAGCAGTGCAGGAAAATACAAAATGTGGAAATAGGTTTATAATGAAGACAGAAGTCAGTGGGGCTGAAAAGGATGCACTGTATAATGAATGGTGCTGAATAATTGACTATCCTTACAGAAAATAAAGGACTAACATTACATCCCTTACTTCATACCATACAGTAAAAATCCCTCCTGGCTTAAAGAATTAAATATGAGAAGCAAATTTTTGGTACTTATTTTTATGTTAGAATAATAACCTATTTCTTAATCAAGATCCCTAAAAGTGGAATACCACAGTAAAAATTCTGGTAAGTTTGACTTATTAAAATGGTGAACACAATAACAAAGCCATTAAGTTGAGACAGGTTACAAATGAGACAATGTGTAGTCATCACAAGATTTATATTCAGAGAGGGCCAGCCAAATAGCTCAGCCGATTAAAGCACCTGCAAGCAGGCCCAGGGGGTAGGGGTTTCATCCTTGAGCCTGCTACACCGGCCCCGCCCCCGGGGTGGGCTAAGACAGCAATTTAGACTGGATGTGGTGTCGGCCTGTAATTCCAGCACTTGGGAGGCTGTAAACCTTCGGATTACTACAAGTCTGATCTAGTAGTGAGACCCTGAACACCCCGTAGACCCTTCCCTAAAATACAGGAAAAAAAAGATTTATATAAGCTCAAGTCATCAGATTCTGACATTGCCAGTCCTGTAGATAACCCACTACTATAGTGGAGTACTGGACTATATTAGAATATTTTGCTGAATTCACACACCTAAAATATTTGGATGGCAATGTAATATTCATCTCTGACAAAACTGAACAAAAAATGGTGATATCAATGAAGGACAGTTTTGTATCTGTATATACAAAATAGATAGATATATAGCTACTTTCTCCTAATTCAATAAGAAGAAAGATATGTACTAATAGTGTTTAGACCAGAAATCACATATGTATCTTGTGCTATGAATGACTACTACAAAGACAACAATATGCAATGTATTAATTGTTGTAATTCTCCAATGAACCTATTTTGAAGTTGTCACATTGAAATTTTTTTCTCAATAAAATTAATTTTAAAAAACAGAATATATATCAAGTTCCTAGGCATCAATAAAGACAAAAAATGCAGTCGAAATGTAGCATATAATATGAACTGGAAATCCACAGGAAATTAATATAAGGTGGTAAATAAATACATATTTTTTCTTTTTATTCATTTATTTGTTTATTTTTCATTTTAATGAGAAAAAAGATAAAATAGCAATGAAACAGTTTCAAAACAGGTTAGTATGACAGTTACAATAATTAATACATGGCATATTGTTGTCTTCATAGTAGTTATTCAGAGGACAAGATGCAGACATGATATCTTGTCTAAACAATGTTGATACAAATCTTTGTTCTCAATGAACTAAGAGAAAGAAGCTGTATATCTATCCTAAATATCTTGTATATACACATATTTTTTACACACACACACACACACACACACACACACCAAAAAAGATTTTTTATTTGTAGCCTCCTTTTTGTGTCTTGTTTTGTCAGAGATGAGTGTTCGATTGCTGTAAGAAACACTGTATTTGGTGAAGCCTTTAAAGGACCTTTTCATACTTGAGGCCAGACCAAAGATTGTAGCTACTTTAATTCAATAAAATAACCCAATATAGTCCAATAGTCCATAATAGTAGTGGGCTATTAGCACACAACTGACTGTTGTCTGAAGTTGTTGATGTGAGTATTTTACAGCTCAGCATATTAATATAGCTTTACTTTTTATACCTTGTGGTTACACTTTTCTGCTGGACGGTTAAGGCCAAGTTAAGCAAGACCTATGTAACTCAAAATGTAATTTTTTCTATCTGATAACGTCAGTCAAATCCCCTCAGGATTTACCCTGGAACCATGTACAGCACCTTATGGATCTTTTGTCAGTGTCAGCCATGTGGATGAATCATGGCCATTGCTTGACCAATGTGCTCTCTGTGAAAGCCTGAGAGAATGTTTTCTATCCATGTGACTCTCCTTAGGCACACTCTGCACCATTGATCACTTTCCTCTGTGGCCCCATCATCTCCTTGATCAGAAAATTTGGGACACCACTGAGTTACAGGATGTCACACTACCAGTACTCTTATGTCCTAATCCTCACTGATCTTGAAGGGCTAGGGCCAAAATATTGGTTATCCTTGTAGCCCATCTAATAAATACATATTTTAATATTTGAAAATATTTTGTTGATATATGATTGCATTATATGAAATAAATTTTCATTTTTGGAGGTTGATGCATACATAAAACAAATGTGAACCATTTTTGATCCCTTTTCTTCCCTTCCTACCTACCTTTCTTCCCAATTCTACCTTCCCCCTGATCTCCTCTCCCTGCTCTAAAACATTTCCCATTGTTGTACTGTCAATTTATGTACAATTGAGTTTCTCTTATGAAAGAAACTATGCCATATTTAACTTTTGGTGTCTGACATATTTTATTCAATGTTATGGTGTCAAGATCCATTCATCTTTCTGCAAATGACTCAAATTCATCCTTCTTTTTAGCTCAAAAAATTCATATATATAAGCTATTGTGAGTTAGATCCTTTTAAAATTCACAATAAACAGTTTTAAAGGGTTTGGTTTGTGGTGGTAAGAGACATGCAAATTAAAACAGTAAAGAACACCATTAATAAGCATGAGAAAAGAAATTCTGATAAATTGCTATTTGATATTTAAATGCCTTCTTCTTTGAATATATCTTATAAAGGTGAAGATTTGTATTGTTTGATGTAGTAATTTTCTCTATATGTGCCTTAGAAAAGTTTTCACTGTTCTTCACAGGTAAGTAGACTGCAGTATTATTTTCACCTTTTTTGTAAGAGTGAATCATTGAGAAATTTGACCTATAGTCAAGAAATGGATAAACAGATGCTAGTCATATGATTCTATGACTCATTAAAAGTTTATCTATGCCACACATATCCTTGTGGACAGATCTTTAAAGATTAATTTTGAGTTAAAATATATAAGATTATTCTTGCACTATGATGCTAAAACATTGAATAGAATGTTTGTATAGAATAGAATAGAGAATTTATGGATGAAAATATGCACTATAAGTATAAAAATATATATTAAAAGTATATTAAGGCTTCAGGAGATGGATATGGTGGTATAAATATATAATCTCAGTATCCCGAGAAACTGGAAAAGGATAAATTCAAACTCAGCCTGGGTAGTTTCATGACTTAACAAGACCCTGTCTCATAGTAAAAATTGAAAAAGGCTGAGCATACACATCAGTGCAAAAGCCCTGAATTCAATCCTCAGTATCACATAAAAGAAACAAGCAAAACTTCATGAGATTGAGCAACTTTAGAGAGGAAAGAAGGAAGAAGAGGGGTGAGATAGAGCTTTGGCCCTGTCTCTAGCATTCTGGAGGTTTTTCACTAAAGATCAGAAGCCAGTATGGCAACGGGTTACTATGTTTGTTAAATCTAGTTGTGGGCATATAGAGCAATATTTTTTGAAAGAATAATTTTTTTTTCCTGAGGTCATCAGGGATTTATTTTTTCCAATTTAATCTCTATGATAAATCTTTTCTTATTTCCTTATTAACTTAGAATAAAAAATTTAAAATATTGTTTTCAATAGAAAATGAAGCACATCAAAGATAGCATTCTTTAGAAATATATTATTGTCATGGGAGAATGAAGTAGAGGATGACGAGTGAGGTATATTTACCAGGAGGCAGGGTGCCAAACTCAGGAAAATTTTCTGTGTTCCTGCCCAAAATACTGAGAAACAATATAAACTTGGAAAAAAAATTTTCAATGAGAAGAAAGGTTTGTACTAATATTGTTTAGACAAGATATCATACATACATCTTGTCCTCAAAATAACTACCATGAAGACAATGTGCAATGTATTAATTATTGTAACTGACCTATTAGCCTGTTTTGAAGCTGTTTCACTCCTTTAATTTTTTCCTCGTTACAATGAATGACAAATTTCTAAAAAATCAAATTTATAATGAAGCATTGTCAGTTGGACCATTGTACTATGCATTTGTCTTTTAAACAATTTTTTATAAAAAATAAAATTTCATAACAAAATACTATGAGACACAATAGTTGAAACACCATGTATCATTTCTTCAATATAGCTACTCAGAATACA